GCTCGGCGGTTTTATGAACTACGCGGAGCGTAACTAGTTCTGACCGCTGATATGGCGCGCGATGCTTAACCTGTTCTTTCTTCTTAATAATCGTGACCGTTCTTGATGACACAATATTAATGATAATTTATTCATTGATAACAATTACCGAATGAATCATAACATTTTAACGATATCTGCCGTCTACGCAATATTTATTTATTTTCTCTCTTAGATCTATAGAGTCTATAGTATAGACTACAATCCACATGCAACTGAAACGCATTCAAGTAAAATCGTTTAAAATAAAAATGTTCTTTTTGAGCGATCTTCCAATCTTACCAATGTTAAATAAATTTTAAATAATCTAMCAATAACAAACATTTAGAAGATAATATTTTCGAATGTTTGACATATTGTTTTTTTTATATTATATTTACTTTGTAATTTATATTCGACATTAAAAATTATATTTCATGAATATTAAATTGTATTGAATATTGAAATAATATTTAGACAAATCGATAAGTTTTATTTCCAAAAATAAAATCCTCTAAAAATTTTGTAACTAGTGATTCACTATTCACTTTAAGATTACCWACTTAAAATACGAAAAAACATAATGATTATTATTATGACTCGTCTATGTTGCGCTTGCGGGCCTTAGAGAGAAAACTAACTGTACCCTGACATTCTATTAAATTAAATATTTCAATCATATTTAAAATGATATAATATATTAATTTATACATTTTTTTTAATGTGTTTTGGAGGAAAATGTCCGCATTAAAAAATATATCGGGGAATTGGGAAAGATGCAGAATTTAACCGAAAACAGTCGTGGGGGGGGGATATTCGTTTACCGAATATAATATGATATATTAATAAATATGGTTATCAGCTATCTTACAATGTGTGCTGTATACTAGTATACTATATATTATATTTAGTTATGTATCTGTGATTTCACCACATTGCACATTCAAAATTATGGCATCGACAATTAGCATATTATATTATGCTATAGGTACCTATTAAAGTATTAATATATTATATTAGTAAGAACAGTAAGGCCAGTCKCTAATTTCATTGATTCATAGTTTTCCACCGAATAACTAGTTTCACAAATTTAAACATGTCCACGACATTAGTCATATATTGTTTGAATGTTAAATATATTATATTGTATTATTGTGGACGTTCAACGTATGAAGGCCCATATCATAATAATATATTATGTGATAATTTATTATAACACATGCATATTTTAATGACGCATCAAGGGAATTGTGTCAATAAAAAAAATATACATACGTATTAACATTATAAAATAGTTTAAAAAATACCTAAATTGAAAATGATTTGTACAATATTTTAAAGTATACTACCTACTTTACGAGTATACCTTAAAAATGGTTTATCCAGAAAAAAAATCCCCTAAAATATAATTATTCATATTTTGTAAATTTTTTTTTACATATTAGCAAGTAAATATACTATTTATATGTTACGAGTATATTATATTTGTATTTTGTATGTTACATACAAAAAAATTATACAAATAATCAAATTGTAGACTTATATTAATCCCTATATTAGTAAAAAATAAGTACAGTCAAAATACTAAATTCTTCTCTAATAAATTGTTCACATACAATATACATTGTTTAATACGTTTTGCACTTATGTAGCTTGTAAAGTTGTAAGTCAATCGCCCAATTTGGCAATTTCACTTAGTTTTAATTTATTTTTGTCAGCCTTCACTTCATCGTTGTTTATATTTTTAACAGCTTCAAATCGATAGATTTTTAATTTTTTTCCAACCAAATGAGTGAACCTATTATTCCATCCCTCACGCATGTTTTTAATTCTGCTACTGTCAATTAAAATACTTAGGTGCACATTTCCCATGTTAGAGAAATTGACCAAACCACTTCAGGTCTGCAGTAAATCTTACCCTCAACATACTGTATACATTTATSGAACAAAGTATTAAACATATTAAATATTTAAAATAGATAAATCTATAGATTTATAATATAAATCTGAAAATAATGTGKAATATGTTTTTAGATTCCAGATAAACTATATATAGTTTGGGAAACTGGGCGTGTACTATAGTTAATAGTTATAATTGCTATTAGTTATATTTTTATATTATTTATACATTATTTTTAAACATTAAACACTTAGCATAGGAAATGGATAATATGATAATAAATATCTGAATAAATACATTTAATTGGAAGGTACTTGATAGAATTAAAAACTATTATATTCAGTTATGCAATAATATGTCCTCTATATTTATATTCGTGTGTATTATACATAATTACTACACATAAATGATAAATGACAATAATTAATATCATTGATTTCTGAGTATTACTAAATTATTTTTAATACGACATTTCATACAAAGTGTTGCTCAAAATCTCTATATGTACCAACTATTGACAATTGTAAATTAGAAGATATTGATATACATATTTCATATTAAATGCCAAGTCTCAAGTCCATACCATCCATAGATAATATTTAAGTCAAAATTTAACTACATAACATCTTTAATTTTTTTACTAATCAGTCATAAACCATAATATCACAACTATCAAGTCAAATTGTTGATTTAGCGAAAAAATACGTAAAAATAGGTAATTATTAACTTCATGGTTCATAAATAAGAATTAATTGCTATTAGGAGCAATAGGGTATGATTGCTATGTTTTACAATTTGCTGTATGATAAAGAAGTATCAAGTATAAACATATTACATATTATTATAGGAACAGGTAAAGGTAATACCAATACAATTATTATTACTAATTCCTAGTAGGCACATAATATTATTGTTTATTTGTAATAATTAACGAATTTCTGTTATAAAACTTAGTGTCTAAAAAGGAACCAAAATAATGAACAATGATTACAGAAAGGCTAGAATGCTAAGTATACAATTTTAACRAATTATCTATGGTTATTCACTGTTGGTAGTAAATTATATTACGTACAAATATTTTTACACCCAAACAATTTTAAAATATGTATTATAATTTATAACCTATTTTTTTGWGAATCGTTTAAACTTTGAAATTAAATAATTATGTGTGTAAGTTGAATGTTCAATATTGACAATATTATGTATATTATTATGCTTAATATTTATTCTATWAAAGTACCAACGTCCAACGTATAAATTATTATAGAAATATATTAAAAATATTATTCAATAATATTTATAATATGTATATAAAGCATAGACAGGTAGGACTTTTGTCGGTGTTTATTGTTTAATATTTTTGAGTTCTGATTACAAAAACTCGACTAGGTAGGTTGGTAGTTATAACGAATATACTAAAATATACAGAGTGATCTTTTAAGCCTGATCGTTGTTAATCCTATTTTTATGGTTAAAATATGCATAATAAATTAAAATTCAGATGTTTGGAACTTTTAAATATACTTGATTGCTTGAAGACCATTTATTGAATGGTTAAAATTTTTTGTACCACTTCAGTGACAAACATACAGGATTATTCGCAAAATAATTTTCAGTCATTAAGAGTGGTTTTTATTTTAAAAATTAAAATTGGTATCACCACAAGATACTCCTCAAATAGCATAAAAAATATCAGAAATTAGAAGATATGATTTTTAAGTTTACTAAAAAATTCTAAAAACCAGAATTCGAATACAATATGTTTATGTACTATTAGAGGGGAAAATGGGGGTGACCATGCTTAAAAAWTATCACCCTGTATTCATTGTGCATAATGCATGCGAAATTGCGAATAACAATAATGATAAATTATAATATGTCATGATTTATGCTCAAGATATCAAGACACGTTGTAAGWGTATGTTGTATACTTTTATAATTATTATTAAGGCGTTCTATATGAACCACGGTTATATAACCACCGTGATATGAACTAATATTAAGCCAATAGCAAAAATATAATACATTATAATTCACAAATCACAGTTGTAGGTCGCGAGCATCAGTGATAAGCCGAATGCAATAAAATATTGTATTGTCGCGACTCGCAGAGATAAAAAAAAAACAATAATAATACAAATAATGATGATAATGATAATTATTATCGATTTATGGTAGGTATTTGTTGAATTCTTATACCAACATTATTTTTAATAAATCATTGGGTAAAGTAWTTCGCTTGTTGCTGTTAATAATATCACAATTTCTAATAGTAATAATAATATAATAATCGCGATATATTTTCACAGATTCACGGTGTTTGATGCCCACGGCGGCGCGGAGTGAGTAATCAGTATTATATGTCATGTATAGAGGCATAAGGCATACAGCGCAGTTGTAGTGTGTTGTCTGAGACACCGGTGGGGCTGCCGTCTACCGCGCGTAATACTAATAATAATATTATTTTCGTTTTCAGACTTAGCTACCGATCGTTCACCGTCGCTCGCGAGTTGTGACGCGTAGCTGCCGACGAGGACCGCCGATCCGATTAGCACGCGATAAAATATTATAATATTAAAAACGGGACTCGACTACGGTTTGCCAGTTATTATTAGTGATTACGGTTTGCTTGAAAATACTCAATCGTCGATTTCGCAGTGATCCGATTATTTGTCATCATCATCATCATCATTATTATTATTTACATCCGACGTAATATTAATGCAATGTGCGYAGGAGTTAAAGGACGATCGGCAGACTGATGGAAAATTATACCTACTTTGTTCTTAACAGTAGTGATGCGAACGACTTGGTGGCGATGTTTGTAGTTATTTCAAGTGTTGAAATATTTTTCAAGTTTAATAATTCATAACGATTAAAAATCAAAATTGAATTTCGTCGGTCGTCGGTGAAACTGTAAATATAAAATAATTACAAGGCGAAAAAAAATCGTCTTTTGTGCGGCCGGGAAATGCATGGACACAACCTTGGCGCCACTGTAGTAGGCAACTCGCACTCGCACACACACGCGATAAAACTGGGCGTGTGTGCGTGAACGTAAACGCGATTGTTGGGAGTGTGTGCGTAATCGTCGTTTCATTGTGCTGCTGCTGCTTTTGCTCGTTGTTGTTGTCGCTGTAAGTCTCATATGCTTGTAATAATATGTAAGAATTTTTTTTTTACGTCACTAGAGGAGTAGACGAGATTCGATATCCGTCAGCCCTAGTTGCGTTTTTTATTATTTTTCCAAAATAATTTTTGAATTAAAATTTTTTTGGCATCCCCCTACAGCTGATCGATATCAAATATCAATATAATTTATCATCCCCCGGCGAACGGTACGTCAAAGCCGAGGAGAGAAACGACGAGTCGATATGTCTTTCACTGCTGTCACCGTCAGTAACCGGTCATAGCGGTCGTCCGTATGCGCACAGTGGTCGCTCTACAGTTGGCCATTCAACGACGATGCGCGAATTCAAAGTTGTCGTGCTGGGCTCGGGCGGCGTGGGCAAGAGTGCCTTGACCGTACAGTTCGTGTCTGGCCGGTTCATGGAGAAGTACGATMCAACCATAGAGGACTTCTACAGGAAGGAGATAGAAGTCGACAGTTCACCGTGCGTGTTAGAAATACTTGACACTGCCGGTACCGAACAGTTTGCCAGTATGCGCGACTTGTACATAAAGAACGGACAGGGTTTTGTTGTCGTGTACAGCCTGACTAACCATCAGACCTTCCAGGACATTAAACCCATGAAGGAGCTCATCACCAGGGTGAAGGGATCAGAGCGGGTGCCCATATTGCTGGTTGCAAACAAAATTGATTTAGAACATCAACGTGAGGTTCCAACAATCGAGGGAAACACTCTAGCCCAGATCTGGGGCTGTCCATTTGTCGAGGCTAGTGCCAAGAACCGTACCAATGTAAATGAAGTGTTTGCAGAGATTGTGCGTGAAATGAATTTCAGCAATGACAAAGAGAAGAAGAGTTATTGTTGCTGTACAGTTCTATAAGCCATATTTTTTAGAATTTTGTGTTTTGTGTGCATCAATCAATGTCAAATGTTGCTGGTGATTTCAATTTTTATCAGGTAAACATTTATTTTTGAACATAGCATATAGGTAATATGAGTCTTAGTTTTAATACACTGTATCCATTGTTTTCTGTGAACATTTTTCTCACGCCATCATGAATTTAAAGAGATTGATATATATTATTTACTTATTTGGAATATTTAGTGTACTACTTTAGTTTTACAATGGGTGTGTAGGTATCTACAATAACTTGTGTTATCATAATTTGTTAACATAATATAAAATATAACTTCAATGCATAATATAATTATAAAATGTAGTCTATTGATTTAATAGATRATAAATTACTTGTGTTTATCAATTACTAAATGCTAGATATGTTTTTAGTTACCTTTAATACATTTATTTTATTATCTATTGTCATTGAAATACTTTCTTTTACCTAAAAACATTTAAATTCAAATACTATTTGAAATTGAAAGGCATGAATATGAATAAACTTTGTAAGCCTTATTTAGTTATTAGTAACTTATGATTATTATTTCTAGTTGGAATTAAAAACTGCATTACCAAAATAGAAAAATCATAGTAAATATTTTCATAAGTGTTCCCCTAATTTTATTCATAAGACATATATTTAATGTAGGTATATTGATGTTAATTTAAATTAAATAAAGTACTTACCTATCATTTTCAAGTTAAAAAATTAATAAATTAATGATATTATATATCAAATTATAATTTATCATTAGACTTAAACGCATTGAACACATTTTATAAAAAAAAAGAAGTAGTACAATAATTAAATATTTCAAACTCGATTTCAAAACACAACTGTGTTTAATCATGTATATTATATTTATATATTGTAATTGTATGACATTTAATGTGATCTAATTGTCCTTAAAACTTACATTGTTTAGAAACATATAATATTATGTATAAATTAATGTTTTTCTATATTATCGTACATCAAAACTAATTTATTATATTTCAAAATATTGGTTTAGTTCTATCCTTTAATATGAACGTCTAAATATATTAAAATATTTAATGACTCAATATCTATAAAAATGTAGAACTATGTTGATAAAATTGAAACTTCTCAATAACCTATATATTTGTTTATAATTTGTGCAAGATATTAGATGGATACCTTCATTATATTTCTTATTTATTTCATTTAGTTTTTATCCATTTTAATACATTGAAACTTACCCTGATGGACAACTACCCTTGGGTACAAACTAACCCTATGAATAACTAGACTAAATTTCAGTGAGCGAAAGTATCTGATATTAGGAAGTTTTGTTGTATAAAGTAATATATTACATCAATGGTCTTATTTTAKGTAAGATTATGTGACCTCTTCAATTGAAGTCTACAAAGTCTGGGAGGGGGAAAGAACGCTTAACATTAAAATTAATTTGTGTGATGTTTAATATAAATTAGTTTTTGTTTATCTGTAATGAAATAGGAATATTAAACTAAAACAACTTTAAAATTTAAATAAATTTTTTTTTTTAATTTCTTGCTATAATAAATTCATAAATTGCATTTTATTTCTCGAATTTATTTGTTCTGAGCAGGTCTAATATGTAGTGTTGGTAGGATAATTTTTCTTAGGAGGAAATTTGTTAATTAAAACTTTTATTGAACAAATAGGTGAATGAAATAAAAAATAATGGATGTTTAGACCTCGTGAGCTTCTTATAATAATTTGATTAGATATAGMCTGGTAAGAACTCAGGAACGCTACTAAATTTATAGTAACTAGTCTTCCATCAAAATGTTTTCTACTTTAATCACTATTTTTCTGTACAATAACAAATATTATAATTCAATTTGTATTGGTTAGAGTTTTAAATCTTATCTACAATAATTGGTTATTTTAATAGTCATCAAGTTATAAAAAACACTAAGCAATAGCTATTACTGCTATTAGGTATATAGTTTCGAGCAGTTTTATATTGTATCTACAGTCCATAACTTAAAAAAAGGAAATATATTCATCAGCCTGCGAGGATCTAAAAGTTATTCAAGGAAACTATTTAAAATCAAAGAATTTTAACGTATATTTATTATATTCAAATTCATGTTTAAAATTGAGGAGTAGTATTGTGCAAACAGATCCTCCTCTGCTGACAGGGCCGTATTAAGGATCAATGTATGGGGGAGCAAATATAAATATGCCGCCCCTAATTTAGTATACGACTTTTTTACTAGTAAATAACCAAAAAAAATTCATGCTTAAAAACATTTTTGCAACGGTAATTTTTAAATAGGTATACGTGAAAAGTTGAACAACTAATTTTTGTAATTATATTTTTATTTTATATATTATATAATATTGTGTCATAAGTTGTGTTGAAAAATATTCTTCGATCACCTATACATTATCAATAAGTGCATTAACCGCACAGTCTTATAAATTAATTATCGTGATAAAAAAAAAATAATAATAATAATATCAGTTAACATTGTCGTTGTTATGATTTGGTGAATTGTGTTAGTTTTGAATCGTATCAACGGCAGGCGCTTGGACCTTGTTTTAATTAAAAAAAATTTTTCAACGAAAACAATAATTCTATGACGTTCGCGTTGTATACACTAATATTATCGTATTATAACAAACTGTGACTCATTGAAGCCCCTTATATTCTTTCTAATTGGCTTCCTGGAGTTAACATTCGTTTTATTTAAGTTATTCTAGTTTGCGCACAGGACAATATTATGACGTTGATTTATATTGGAATATATATTTTACATGTATAATGGCTAATGTTCTCAACGACGAAATAAATCGCCTTCCTGTACGACGTTCCGTAATAACTAATAACTATGTTGATAGCTATGTAGAACCGTATAGGTGAGGTAAAGCTGTAATATTTTGTAGTTGTAGTTGTAAAACACTGCGTTTACGAGAATCCGATGCATAGTCGAATTAAATATAACATTATGAATTGTAATCTGTGAATCTGTAATAGAACAACACATTATACTTCGTGTGTTAGACATTAATTATTAACGTTGATTATAGYTAATAGTATTTTAACTATCAAAGATTTGTATTCTAGAATGTCTTGAAGAAAAAAGTGGTGGCAAAAATGTTGTACGTTTAATTTTCCGTGACAACCCCTCCCTGTCCTTTTATTCGAACGATAAACTACAAAAGAAACCAACCAATATAAATAATAATAACAATCTACCACATACCTTTGTTTCGTCGGCTACTCCCATATACATTATTGCTATAAACCAATAAACCCTATTGATGGACTGGAGGATTGGTCGAGGTGGGTCCGTCGAAGGGTTGAAGGGTACAGTCGTAGCAAGAGAACACAATCAGTTATTGTTTAGTTATCGTTAAGACGTTAACCGTATCCATATGCGAGGTTCCAAGTTTTATAATATGGCTTACATATTACACGTGAGTCAGTTTTATGGCATTGAGAAGATTTMTTTATCATATTATATTATATATTTTTATTTATATTCAAATAATATAATAATAATAAGATCAGTTGTGCCATTGCTCGTATTATTTATCCGTTTTACTACTACGAATTTTTTGTTTATACGAAAACAGGATGTATGTTCCCGATGTTCCGTCATTCCGTGAAACCATTATTATATTATGTCCGCAAGTGGGAATTTTAAAAAGCAATTACATATAATATTCGTCGTTATCTATACACTGATTTTACTCGTTACGATGTACGTGACCGTAATAATAGTGATGGTGCGATGACCATTGACATTTGACCCAAGGTCGCGATATATCGTTTATGTGTATTATTATATAATTTATATAATTTATTACTATTCTATCATTTGTCCTTATTGTTGTTTACAAATCAAAGTATTAACGTAATGAGTTAATGAGTAACGATGTAACAAGAGTATAGATATCTCTCGAAGGATGTTAGATATTATGACAATCGTGCTTTTTATTTTACCGGGTCATAGGTAATAATGTTATTAAACTTATTCTGCGACAAAGATGTGTTACTCCTGACAATTATTACGTAAGCCTTTCTCTGTATCGCCTTCGACCTATTATAATATGATTATGCAGACATTCAGACTTCAGTAGACAGTAGTGTTGTACTCATCTTTTTTTTTGCATTTTACTCAAAAAATACGCTTCGTCCATTGCACATGGCATATCGTGTGGTAGTCAGTCGATTGCTTACGAATCTCTACGACAACAACAATGGTCGTGGCCGTTGCTACGAGACATTCTCGATTCGAAACTGTGTATAATAATATTATGTACCAACACCGTGGTAGTAGTATAATGGTCCTAATAATAACATCGTTGTAGGACTCCCGTCGAGTGTATGTGTGTTAACGGCTGGGGAATATATTATTATATTATGTTATGAGACAACACATCGAATCGACTGCGTAAACGTAATAATATTTCGAATATCCGGTGGTAAAAATGGCTCCCCCGTGATCGGAGGGTCATCGTTATCGTGAACGACCCCTGTGTGTGTTTGGGGAGTATGTAAAATTTACTATTTACAGTTAAATATCTGTTGATTTAATTACTCATCCAAACAACGATGTTGTTCTATTTGATGGCTATTTATTTCGACGTCACGAGGACGACCCTTTGGGTGTGTACCGCATCCAGATTAATTTATAGTATTCGAAATGGTGTGGTATGCTTATAGGTATAGAGTATAAAATAATAATGTATTGGTATGCGTTTTCCAAACGAAATAATTGGTTTTTAGTGCAGGGGTGGCGGCCGGAAGATTATACCAAAAACGGCACATTGTTAGCTTATTATTTAAAAAAAAAATGAAACTGTTTCACRTTAACAATGCGTCATGTTATACTGTATAAAATAAGTCATTTACACAGAGCGATTCCCTCTAACAGTGAGTCCATAGTTTTTTAAATAGTTTCATTTTTTTGTCTTACCCAGAAATATCTTAATAGATGTAGGTAATTTGTATATTTTAAATTAGCATAGACAAGACTTTTATAACTAGGCTAACTTGTCGAGTTGTGTATCCATATTTTCTAATTCCTCCTATAATACACGCCATCAGTTTGATTTTAAAATGCGATTACTCATTATGATTATTATAACKTTTACAGCGTTTTACATTTCAGAATTTTCAATTGCAATTAAACAATTGTTTAGTAAACTATTGCTTTGAAAGAATCGTCCTGTACGACTACTGTACTGTGTACTGTATTGTACTGTATTGAGCGAGGTATTGAGTATAATATTGCTGGGACGCGGGCGTGTATGTGAGGTGTGTGTCATGAGGGAACCCATAAATWGAACGCGACCACCGTTAAAGATTAAATTAGGCCCTTCCCTCTATTAAAATAGTACGAAACATTTTTCTCCGGTGATTGATACACGGTTCATACTCTTGTCATATTATATACTTATTGGACCTTGTTATAATACAATTGATATTTTATTCAAATACAATAAATATCCATTCTAATTCCTAATATACAAACGAAGGCTACCCGATGTATGATGTTATCCGAATTGAATTTGGTATTTATATTTTCAAACTCATTGTATCAAAATTAAAATGTTTCATTGTTATTTGTTACTATATGGCTACCTACGCGATTTAATGCGTTTTTAAAACTGTTGGAAAATTCTGTATAATTTTAATAATGYTAAAAAGTTAAAAACATATTAATTTTCAATTTCGTGTCACATGTGTGACATCTTTAATTATGTGCGTGGGAGGAAAATATAACTAAGAGGTACAGCTACACCACACAGGTTACGTGAACAATGACACCGTAATTATGTATTGCGGTGATTATATTGTATTTATTCAACAATACATATTTTCCAAAAACATAGTATTGTGAAAAAAATTATAAAGATTCTTTATTTTACTCGTTTTTTTTTTATTTAAATGATAATTCTACAAAAATTGAAAACCTTTGTATAGCTTATATTATTATAAATATATATATCTTATTATGATTTAATACTTGTACTAAGATTCAAATAAACTGTTATAATAAGATGTGTTATAACATATTTGAATAGGTACATCAAAAATAATAAGTATTATTTATAAGTAACCTATTCTTTAAGTTTTAACTGGATCTCATTTGATTTTTGACGATAACCTTCGATAACCTCATATTAAAATGTTTGACTTATGTATATCAAATCATCTTTAATTATTGTTTTAAATTTTTAATGATTTTTAAGGACATAAAAATTAATTTTTGATTACTCATTGATGTATACTAAATTGATAACGATTTAGGTAATAAATAATAATATAGCACCTAAATATATTTATTGAATTAATCATTTATTAGTTTATTAGTTTATTACATAAGTTATTTTTATTGGTTTTGCTTCCTTTTGAATTTGATTTTTTAATACCACGTATAACTATTTTTGAAATCTGAAATTGTAAGCTTTTTTAAATTTATTATACAAATATAAAACAAACACTAAATCAGTATATATTAAATATTAATAAACAATATTATTCATTTTACAATTTGWCGTAAAATTKTATTCATATTTAATATATTTTATTTTTAGAAATAATAAATTAGTCCAATAATTGTATGTGTGTAGTATAATTGTATAAATTATTGACAGTTTGCAATTACCTCCGTTAATAAAAATGTTTAATTTTACTTACAGAAATACGTCAAAATTCATATTCAATAGTATTGGTGTCAGGAACTGTACTCACTACAATTATTTACATATCCAGCTTTAAAAAGGGTACGTTTTCTAAAGACTGTCGATGATATTGATAATATACATAATAATRCAAATTATTAACAGATTTTTTATAAATCCACCTATCGCATGTGGCACACTACTGCAAGTGCCATTTATTTTAATGTTATAATATTATATAAAGATAGAATGTGTTTTTTTAAATTTAATTTTATTATTTAACTAGTGTTAAATATGTTTTCTGTAATGTATACATTTTTTTTTTTGTTATATCGAAATGCAGGTTTATTGATACGAAATGTTTAAGGCAGGAATGAGATAATAACTTAAATTATAATGTGTATTCCTGTATGTAATATAAAAGGGAATAGGCGGAGTAATAATAATATTAACGGCCTAATTATTGTATATTGTTTTTGAAACTTATTATTTTGTAACAAATATTTTTTATACTTTTTATACTTAAAGAAAAAATATAAAATATAAAATATATATACAAAAAGATAATAGTCAATGGAACAATTTTAGATTAAGATATAACGGAGTTTAAGTGTATCCATCCGTGTAAATAATAATTTATGGATCTAGGCATTTTTAACGATTTGTCTTGTTTTTGAATAATATTTTTTTTAGCGTATTAACATACTTTTAATCGATCAAGTGGTTTTGCAGAAAGCATTATGTACCGTTAATTTTTTTTTTGCCTTTGTGATATTAATTTTATTTTTATGCCATTATTCCAGAACAAAATTGATATATGATATAAATATTTTGATTCGCTTCATCGATATATTAATATGCTAATGAGAAGCGATWCCAAAATGTTCCCGTACGTCTGGCTTGCTTCACAATGGACTGTAACATTGTGCGAAGTTAAGTACCAAAGATAAAGCCACATTAAAATATGTGATATTTTGATTCTTAAAGTTATTTCTCCCCTTAGCTCTCTTTACTTTAAATAGTAGTATCTATAATGTCTTCTGCAATCTTCACACTATTATTATATTATACTTTATACTTTTTATTTTTCCTTAAAAAAATGTGAATACATTTTATAAATCATATTATTATTTAGTAATATTTTATTTTCTATAATGGTGCATACCTAATATTAATTTTTCATGTACTTGTGAATAGCCTGTTTTTTTTATATATATAATTAAATATATATAATATATAAATTATATTACATTAAATACGTGTCAATAAATTTTTGTGGTATGACACATTCTTGATTCTACTTTATATATATGTATACATATAGAAATTTATAAATAATAATTATGCGTGTATATAATATATATTTATAATATATAATAATATATTATATATATTTATAATATATAATAATATATTATATATATTTATAATATATATTATAATATTATATACATGAATAAAAAGATGTATAAATCAATAAAAACAAAAATAATTTGAAAACTCAAACTGCGTGTATTGTATATTGTATTTAATAAAAACATTTAAACGTGTTCTATTTTCATGTGGTATCATATAAGCAACAGTTATTATTCTGCAGTGAAAGTATGTGTGCGGTGGTATTTGTGGTTTTTCATGGATAACAGTTTTTCGGAAGACCCAGGAAGTTTGATATTTAACAGGCCAGAACGCAATTCAAATGACATGTTGAATATTATCACAACGCAATTAATAAATTTGCAATGCTATACGTGAGTGATCAATCATAATAATAAGTTTAATTGTGTAAAATCCTTCTGTCAGTGATAAGTGAACCACCCATAAAAATAATAACTTATTGTTTCGTGTAGACAAGTGCACAATCCATTGATTTGTCTATGCTTTTAAAATGATTAAGACTCATCATATTTTTATGTATTTTGTTGGCTGAATTGTTAATTCAGAAGGATTTTTTGTGTTACTCATTGAACTTTACTTGGTAAAAAAGTGATGATGAAAACAAATTTCAAACTTTCAAACGTGATCATTACGTTTCAAAAAACGCACACTTTTCACTACTATGGTGRTATTTTAGAAGTGGTGTGCTGTATGAAACAGCATTTGCACTCAGAGATCCGAAAAAAGTGATTATATTSTTTCATACTACTTTAAGCCCTAATGTAATTAATAGAGAACATATGCATCAATATATTCCTTGCTCAGTTTACAATATAATATTTCTATTGTCCTATTGTCCTATTATATTATAATATGTTGAATACTGTTGGGGTATTATTTAGGTGTAAATAAAATAATGGGTATTACTGTAATTTAATACCCGAATATCCGATTTCTCATTGAATTTGTGTTATAAATGAATAGTTATAAATAATTATAATAACATCTCTAAAACGATTTCTTTAAGACCTCACGTTAAAGTAGTCGACGTAGAAAGTTTTCAATAATTTCTAGTATTATTGTTATTTGTTACCTACTAAAGTTTAACTAACCTCCGAAAGTGACTATTGTTAATCATTATTATTGATTCTATAACAGAAAAATAAAAATGTTTTAAATATAAATAACACTTATCGTGCATTTGATTATGTTATCAATTTACCATTATTATTATAGCATAAATTATAATAAAATCTAATTATTTTAGATTATGTTCACGTACTATACAGACATCCAGGTGATTAATTGTTAAAGTAGTTATTGGCTTTAAATAATACCTTATCATTCGAGTAACCTTTTTAAAACAAACTTAGTTCCTTCAAATTAATCAGTAAGCCATAGGCGCCCGCAGGGGGGGGGGTGCAAGCTGGGTCATTTGCCCCCCCTGGCTTTTTCAAAATATTTTTTTAAATTGAATGTTTTAAGATAAATTTCTATATACTATACAATAAATTTAAAGTATGAAATAAAGTTGTAATATAATAAAATATAATATATTGTATACGAGTATCGTAATAATAAAAAAGATTATTATTTTAAAACACCTAGTAAAATTATAATATTTATCCTCAAATCCTAACGTTGCACCCCCCTCCCACCCTAGAAATATTTCTGCTGGCGCCTATGCAGTAAGCTCTCTTTACATAATTTCATAATGTCCTTAGAGAACGCCCCACCCGCATGTATTGTCTCCGTCTTACTAACGTATAACATWACTAAAACTGTTTTGCGCCAAACAACTTTACTCCCTCTGTATTTATAATAAAATTACTCTCCGCAACGTATAAAGAAAGACTTTATCAATATTATGTCGTAGCGTCGTTATTTTATAACATAAATTATACTAGTTATCATCAGAACCGTATTGATAGAAATTGCAACCAGGGGCAACATAAAATTTGCCGCCGCCCCCCCCCCTGCCTAAAAAAAAATATTTTACTTTATTGATATTACACAATTGTAGTAGTAAAAAGTTACAATTAATATCAAATAAAACTGTGTAACAACCAATATACAATGTTATTTAAAATAATTTTAAAATGACACAACAACTTGATAGATAAAAATGTTAAATTAATTCATAATTTCATAACATTATATTTTACATTTTTGATCATCTCAATATTGTGCTGCTCCTAAACCTAATTTTTATATTACCACCAGGGGCAATTGCYCCTCCGAGCCCTCCTTTAAATACGGGCCAGCTAATTATCAATGTGAGAGTATAATTTTTTTTTCAATTTAATTATTAAAAATAATATTATTATGACATAGATAATTATTCTTACAATATCCGTTGTAGAATTTACTATTAAATTTAGGTAAATCTACTATAAATACAGAGGGAGCTACGTTCTAAGACGGAGAAAATACATACGAGGTGACATCCTCTTTGGATATTATGAAATTGTGTGGAGAGAGCTTACTGATTCATTTAGAGGAATTAATTTTGTTTTTAATAAGTTCCCCGTATCTAGTATTATTTATATTTATAGTCTAATAATTACTTTAATAACTAATCTACTCGATCATTGTGGTTACGTGGACACAATCTAAGTATATAATAAGTACGGATAAGTAATGAATAGGTACAATGGTTTCTATAATTATTATTTTTATTTATCACTAAATATAGTACGATAATTGCGCCAATCGAAATATTTTAAATGCGTTATTGATTGGATTTTAATATTGTCTGAATTTATCGACTTAAAATATTTGTGGAGATATGGTACTTAAAGTTATAGACAATCATTTTGTAATCAGGTAGGTAAATCCTAAGTATATGACATATCTTATTATATTTTATGAACAAATTATATAACCAAGTAAGTACTGTAATATTATGTTAATTTAAACTGATAAAATATTTTTCATCCTCCGGACATTCATTAAAATTACTAATTAGCACATCTGTGAAAGCAACCAAGAACAAGTGTTTTTCAATTGACTGCGTTTGTACATTGTATGGAGGATTTGTGAAATGTACATATAGTAGAACCGAAAATAAAAAGGAAAATTTTTTTTTTGTTCTTCTATGTAGATATCTTCTTGTTGTAGACATTTRTAGAATATTATAGTAATTTGTCTGTCCTGCCAAAGTGGCAACCGTATATTTTTATTTAACCGCAATATTATAGTTTATTTAGTGATCGCAGTATCAGTTAAATATTACATCCCAAACTAAGCTATAAATCTATTAATATTACAATGATGTGTTTATTTTTACTGCTATATAAAAGTAGGGGGCTTAAAAGTAATAAAACAACATAACTTAAAACAATTTTAACAATTGGGAGAACAAAAATAAATATAGGTTAAAGTAGATATCCTCTCTGGCACATAGTAGGTGGTAGGTCTCGAGTGTTTCTAAAATTGAGTATGTCAGTGTAGTAGTACTGTAGTTGAATTGTATCTTTAAATTTGAACTCAATAATGAATGATTGCATACGAAAAATAATTCAGGCGTAGACGCCGAGACGGTCTGTTACTCTAAATAGTCTAAATATTAAAATATAATATATTATATTGCTAATAAATTGCTGTTTGTCAGCAAAAAAACTTGAAAATAGAATACAAAATTCTTCATGTGTTCTCACTACAACTAATAAATATTAAAAATACATTACCATATAATTTTCACTGATAAGCATTTTAATTAATGTAATTTTCATATTTTTGTAATATCCTTTTTCTAGAAATCTTGAAAGTTGGCTTTCACTAGAATACTAGTTAGTTTTAGTTTTTATTATTTTATTTCAAATTCAGGTACAACAAGTAAAAGCTATGTTAGAACTAATTCCAACGATAAGGTTCCTGAATAATTCTAGTTTAGTTTAAGCAGTTTTGACGAAATGAGTTATTGAAAATTAGTATTGGTTAGTTAAAATTAGTTTTGTCAAATTTTGAGTTTTACCATATTATGCACGATAAGAAGCACTACATTTATAAGGTCAAAACGGAAAATTCCTAGTAGTTTTTAAAAGCGTCTGGGAAAAACAAAAACATAAAAGGTGGGCAA